CCCCGCCGCTTGCTCCGTTCGCGCGCGGGTAATGCGATATTGTCGACGCGAGTTCGATGGCTTTGACACCCAGAGTCGACTACTCGATATCGCGCCATACGGCGTGATTTAACACGGTGAAAACAATGTGTGCTTGCATTTCGAGGGAAAGGGGGAAACTTTATGGGAAGTAACCCCAACACCACCATACCATTTGAGGAATTATGAATTCCTGTGAATTGTGGAAGAAATTCTCCACATTTTTTTTTTAGCAGATTTCTCACAATTTTTACCGTGTGTTGGTTGGAGCCGGGGTCAAGCGTGCCGTATGGGTCGCTAGCTGGCTAATGGGTTCTCTATGGCAGCTCCGAGAGCAGAGCCACAGCAACAGAACCACATGTGAGTGTCTCCTCCACCACCCGAGGGCAAGATTACGCAAACCTCTCATTGGACTGTCCGCGCGCGCGGGGACTCGCGTGGACTTACACAGCGGGCGCCCCAACGGAGCCCCACCAACCACCGCCGCGCCCCCACGCGGAGCCCCACAGCCCTTGCGACCTACCCCTGCCAGAGCGCTCTCCCCTTCCCCCTCCCTCCCACCCCCTCCACCCATCGCAATCCCATCTCTTCATCATTTCATTTGATTACAACCACGGACGTGTCAGTCACACACACACACACACACGCCGATGGGGTTGGCTGCCTGCAGCTTCACTTCGCGCCCACGCCCCACGCGCCCGCCTACAGCGCCGCCCCGCCGCCGGCCTGTCTGCCGCTGATGCCGGGGCCCTGCCGGGGCCGCGGGTGCCGGGGGTGGTTCTCGAGGCCGTGAAGGTCGCGGCCAACGACCACCCGGGGGGCCGCCGACCCCTCCTCCTCGGCCACCCCCCACGCGTTGGGAGGAAGGGCTGGCCAAGGGCTGGGCGCGCGGCCCTCCGGGCCACTCAGAGGGTTTGTTATAATCGCGAGGCTTTGTGCCTCTGAATGTGACCCATGTACCACGTCTAATTGGGATATGGCATTTCGAAAGGTCTCT